ACTGCGCCACCAATTAATTAATTGAGCTTGAAAAATTGCAATTAATTGCCCTTACAATCAATTATTCGGTAGGCTTGGTATTACGTGGCTTATAACCGTCATGATTTTTTTGTCTAACAAATTCACGTGATAAATTATAATATTCACATGCATATACATGTACAAAGCTCGCATATAATCCGGCTTTTTCAAAATTTTCAATTTCCTGTTCTTAGATCAAAATGGGAAATACACAATCTAATGAAACCACGGAGTTACAAAAAACTGATAATAGTATACAATCCTCTGAATCTTCGCAAAGTGAACTGACGACACCTATTACTTCTGTTAAGTCAATAAAGTCAAGAAAGACTTCATTTCCTAACTTTGGTTCAAATTCACCAGTTGTTGGCTCACCTTTACGTTCGCTTGATGAATATAAAAAATTCGATGAATATAAAAAGTTCGAGGATTTTTATTTTGAAAACATTGAGGATGAAATCTATGCATCAAGTTTTAATGAAGGAGATGTTTTTAGTGGTGAAGATGGTTCTTCAAAAGCTATTTCAATTCGGCGCCCATCAGCTATGACGTCTGAGCCGTCTTATAAGAATTCAAATAAAGTCATACATGATTATAGTGATAGCGGAGGTATAGCGCCATTGACTAGAGTGAATGTACAAGGTATTGTTATAAAAACTCAATATTAGTCTTATAATAATTGTGAATAGATAATTTAAGTTTCGATTTCTTAGCCAAATTCTTGATTTGAGTGTATAATCATTTTATTAATAGGTACAAAAAATAAAGGAGTCCCTACGATTATTACTTGGAGTCAAGGTGGTAATAATGTTTACGTGACTGGAACTTTTAATGAGTGGAAGCATAATATTCGATTATATAAAAGGTTAGTGTAATATATAATTTTTAAACAAGTGATGCTCGTATATTTTTATTATTAAAATACGTATTAAATAGCTCTAAAGATTTTACTACGGTTTTGAATTTACCACCGGGAACTCATAAACTTAAATTTATTGTTGATGATGAATGGAAATGTTCAAATGAACTTTCAACTGCGACCGATCCAGATGGAAACTTGGTAAATTATTTAGAAGTATTTGAGGAAGAAGGAGATTCTATGGATCAGAATGAAATGAATGCGGATGGTAAAGAAAGCATATTTTAAATATTATAGAGCAATTGTGAATTTTGTTCGTTCTGATTCATATGATTATTTTTAGATCTTTTGTCAAGTACGCCTCCAGGAGAGTATTCAGATGAGATCCCGGGATATCTTCTAGCATATGCACATTCCCGTAACATTATTGAAAACAATATTAGTAATTCCACATCAAGAAAAGATTCCCCTGAACCTCGAGGAAGCATGACAGGAGAACAACCACCAGCTTTACCACCACATCTGGAGAAAGTTCTGTTAAATAGCTCAGCAGTTTCGAAGGAAGATAATAGTGTTTTGCCAGTACCCAATCATGTAGTATTAAATCATTTATATGCTTGTTCAATAAGAGACGGCGTGATGGCCGTCGCCGCCACAGCAAGATATAGGAAAAAGGTAATCATTTGTTATCGTTGGTTATTCATATTGTAAATTAAAATTTCTAATGTTCTTTAATTTCTTTTATAGTATATGACTATTATGTTTTACAAACCTGTTATTATATAATACCATATTATGCCATTTAATCATTATGAATAATTAACAACTCATATAGATTCCAGCTAATTTGTAATCCTTATCATGTAAATTCAATTCATTATTGTATTTCATGCATCATACGCTGATTTCTTACGAATCTGAAATAAATTAAGGTGTACAAATAATAAAACAACCCGAAACTAAACTAATGCCTTATTAAATAAAAGCGATTTCATATACTTTCTAAATCGAATTGACGTTAAATCCAATTTCGGCTAATAAAGTTTTGACTTTTTCACGATATTCTGCCAAAACTTGTTCTGGCGAATTCGCTTGTGAAACAGATTGTTGAAATAACAAGCAGCTTTCTGATTCACTCCCAACATTTGACATTTCAAAATCATCCATATTACTATTTTTACAACAATTTTCCATTGTGCTATCTGATTTTTCACGGCAACTACACATTGAATCAGTCGATAGAGTTGCTTTAAAATAATTTTTTGTGAAAATTTTCTCAACCGTCAAATTTGCAAGATCATTTTCTAAAGATTTTAATCTATCAATAATAGAATGAGCTGGAAGTACAATGTTACTGTCATTAACATTAGTACTATTAAGTAAAGGTGTATAGTATTCTAGTAATGTACTTTAGAAAAATAAGTAAATGAAACAAAATTTAAGCGTTGATCAACAAAAAATTTAAGAAATACTTACTTCAATAAACCTCTTAACCTACCGATCTCTTTTCCAACACTAGCTCCTTCAGCGTATCCTTTATTGAACCCTTCTTGAATGGTAATATCTTTACCTTCTAAAATTCCTTCTTTGTATCCTATCTATATATTAATAAAATTTTTTTCATAAGACATGCATAGAGAAATATATAGACCTATAAAGAACCTACATTTCCAAAATCTTCATTCATACGTTCCCAATCTTTTGATGATATCAATTTATCATAATCCACTATATCTTCATCTGAAACCCAGACATCATTTATTTTGTCAACCATCTCTAATGACTGTAGGATTAAAATCGGTACGTACGTACGTTCGTGATGATTACTTATAGTTATTAACCCTTATCACGTGATATATAAACTAACCATTCTTGTCATTACCGTCGGGTTACAGAATCCGCAGTTAAAAATGGTGTGTTCCTATTGGTTCGCTATTATTGAATTTATTTTATTGTTTGCCCGAAATATCAGTAGTGCCGGCCGGATCAACTGTAAAAATCCAACAGTCTACCCTTAATATCAGTCACACGATTTGTCACATGTAAATTTTTTATATATGAAATTATAATAAAAAACATATAAAATTACTATGAACTTTGTAGCCATGATGTTTTTCGATCTACATATTAACTTAAAATTAAATTCTA